AATATCAAAATTTCTCAGGTGACATGAGGAAGGATATAATGAAAATTTGTATGACCTACTGATTCAATCGTTCAAATTGGTTTAGGATGAAAAATTGGTAAAAAATTTGAAGGATATAGCCAAAATCCCCTAAACAAACTCCAGATTCCCTAGCCAACCCCCCCCCCCCCCCCTCCCCCCCAAAAAAAACACACACACACACACACGTAGGCGTGTCAATAGATTAAATTTTGATCTGAATTCGATTTGAATTAGAATCTGATATATTATATTTCACAAATTTAGATTTATATATACTTATATTCGATTTAATTATGATTCAATCTGAAATATTTATATATATTTTTTATAAATATTAAAGGAATTAAGTGATTATTTGGTGAAATTTAGTTAAAATTTAGATGTAATTTATTAAAATTTAGTTAAATTAAATTATTTGGATCAAATCAATTTTTTGGATCAGAATTTAGATTGTTAACGGATTTAGATATAAACCATGAAAATAAAATTTGTCGTATTATTAAATCGAACTTTTAAAGTTAGATATGAATTCAAATCTATCAAAACCCGATCCATAAAAAAAAAAAACTAAAGTGTGAACAATAAATTTTTCGATAATATGATTAACAATTTACAAATTTGCTCTTTGACCTTGGTATCAACCGGAAAATTCATCCCACCTAAATGCTATATCAGCCATCGACTCTTCTAATTTTGTTCATTTGAACAGTGTTAGGTTCTAGCTCTTGGCATATGACATTTTGAACATTTCTTAATGATTCAAAATTTGGGTCTTGTCATAAAAAAAAGTGGGTCGGTATTAGCTAAATCACGACTACTTCAAGCAACCATGACGTGAAACCAAATTCCATCACAATTCTATAGGCTGCTTGCTGGTATTTAATAATTTAGTGCATAACCATCAGCTCTACTACATTGATGAGCTCCACACGCCAAGAAATCTTGAACATTTTTGCATAATGAAACCTTGCTGGCTACCATTCACCACCTAACAACGTACGTATAGTAGGTGTTTAGATTTTAGAACCATTCCTGAATTCAAACTCATGGAAGAAAGTTGTAGGTGTCATTAATGACAAAATTTATTATGGTTTTAAGGATCTAACCTTGGTATTTTTTGGGCAAACTATGAGACAAAATCTCTTGGGCAATCTAATAATCAAAATTGCCCACAAAGTGATTCAAAGTTTTGAGCAAAGTAGCGAGCAAGCCGAACTCTACAAGCTTGAGTCTGAACCTTTTTTTTTTTTTTTTAATGAGTCTAAAAAATTATTCAAACTCGTTTTTTTAAGAAAACAAACCAAGTCTGAGCCTGAGCCAAACTCGAATAGTTTGATTATTTTATATATAGGTGAGCCGAGTTTTACGAATTCGAACCGAATCTTTTAGGCTTGTTTTTTTAAATGAGCCTAAAAATTGATCAAATTTAACTTGTTTAGAATACGAGTCGAGTTCAAACCGAACCCGAGTAGTTCGTATCAATTAACACCCCTAAAAAGTACCATGGAAATTGCCTATTTTTGGAGCCTATCTACAAGTTTTATTAGGTGAAAAGGATTGACAGATACAACAGGATTGACGACAAGTTTTTTAACATAAATTAATTTGATTTGAAATGTATCGGGATTTCATGTCACTGTCACATTATTAAATCAATAAATTATGTCAATTGTTTAAATTTCAATAACATTATTCTATAAAATTTAAGTCAAGTTGACGAAAAAACTGTAAAATTGAAGTATAAATTCATCAACACCCCAAAGAGACAGATGATCAAGATGAATGAAAAAAACTCAAAACAATTACATACACACAAAATTAAAAATATCTATATGACACCTGAATTACTAGTGCTAATTTCTCATTGTGTTTCAATCTTACATCCTACAATAGAAATCAAAGAGGAGGGTAACCAGGAGAAGAAATATGAAAGGGCTAGTAATGTTACAGCTAATTTGCAGAGCCAGACCAAACTCTCAGACGTATCGGAGGCAGGGGCGGAGCCACCCTTGGACTTGGACTAGGGTGAGCACATGTCCCCCTTCAAATTTTTTTTTTTTGGACATTAGATATATTTTTTTTAAAATAAAACTTAGATATATTTAATTGTGCCTACCCTCAATTTTTTTACAATAAATATATATTTTTTAAAATAAAATTTAGACATATTTAATTGTGCACACCTTATTATTGTGTTATTGTGATATCGATTAAGATAGACGGCTACTGAAATAATAATTAATTTTTAAATAATGATATTGGAACTAATACATTATGATATTAAATCTAATAGTGAGTTCCTACATTTAATAATGTCTACTATTCATATAATAGTCACAAACCATTGGATTCCTACCAATTAAATTTTGAATTTTTTTTGTCAAGATATAAAATTAAATTTTGAATTAGATGCAATTATTATTATTCTTAAATTTTTAGACACAGGCATGTCCGAATAATTTTTAGACATATCACTTTTATTTTTCTAAATTATAGGATTATTTTGTTATTACATAGAAATGAGCGTCATAATGTAACAATTTACAGGGTAATAAATGAAAGACTGTTATTACTATTTTGCATATAAAAAAAAGTATTTATTGATATCATTGATTTATAATTCTTTTAAATGATAAACAATAATCAGATTTATTGTAAAATGATAATAATTAGTCTCATACGAAATTTTAATTAATTTACTTTTATTTTTTATTTGTTAATTCCATACAAATCGTTTTTTAACCTTCTATATTTAATAAATTTTTACGCATAATTATAGTAAATATGAATTTATAAACTTCTATAGTCAATTGAAAAAAGAAATGAAAATTGTTATTTAGATCTAATTTGATGACATAATTCAATGCACCCTGAAAATAGATTTCATCAAACATTAAAATTTACAATTAAAATAACAGTTATATTGAATTAAGTCATTGGTAACATTGATGAAAAAATTATTAAAGTTTACTAATGTCACAGCCCAAAAGTATTTTTCCAGTCCGCCCTGATCGGACGAATCAAAACACCAATCTTTTGTCTCCCCAATGTCCTTCGATGGTTTCTCAGGTCCTTTTGGTACTCCAAAGAGGATCAAATGAAACCTCTAATTGTTTCTGCTAGACCAACGTATTTGTCTAGAGAACCAGTTAATACTATTGTAACGGTGGAAAAAAGGTTCTGTAAGACCAATTTCTTGGGAATGATTTTTCTGTTTTGTTGTATAGATTCTTCTTTTCTGGTTTAGTTTCTCTCAGACAAAGCAAGAAGAAGATAGAGAGCAAGTGGGCATCATAATCTTGAATTGACAAACCTAATGAAACAAGAGAGGAAATGACTTGTTCTACACTCTGGCGATCCATGCTCAAGTCATTGGCCTGAAGATCTATGTGCTCAAATTAGAAAATTGTGTTCTTCACGAAAATCCACTCCCTTGTTTATCTGGATTTTTTTTGAAGTGCAGTAAAAAAACCTCCAATTTTCCAAGAACAAAGCAGAAAGTTACAAGTAGGAAAAGAAAAGCTATCAAAAAGAGATCACCCAGTATGATGCGTTTGGTTGCCAAGAAAACTGTGGATTCTGTGAGAAATTAAAGATTGGAATAGTTGCTGTCAGACCTCAGTTTTTCTTTTATTCTCCTATGATTTCTGAGCCATAAAGGTATGAAAAACAAAAGAGAAAACCTGGTCCAATACATCAGATAATCTTTCAATTTTAAGGGAATAAAGAAAGACTAAAGAGAAATAGAATAAGGCGAGGTGACATATTAGTTGAAGTATGAAGTGTTATTATTTGGGATGGTGTCAAAGCTTGCAGTGATCGAATTTGATGAATACAAAGCAGCAGAAGAGGAAGCAGAAACAATGACAGAAGGCAACGGTGGCGGTGGAGGAGGAGGTCGTGGAGGAGGGGTGGGTGGAGCAGCTGGCGGGGCCCTCGCATCCAACACGGCCCCAGAGGAGACCAAAGCAGGCTGAGTGGAAGCAATTAAACTATTTGCAGCTTCCCTATACTTATATTTCAATATCTCAGCCCTTATTGTACTAAGTTCAGCCTGTAAAGATTGAACCTGTTGTTGCAAAGCTGAAATTGCACCCATGCATCCATATACTGGATCTCTAAGCCTCACGTTTGCTTCATACACCAAACTATTCGCTGCATCGGCTCTCTGGCTCTCCGGCACCTCCTATATTACCCAATTTGAGAGGAGAGAGAAAACCATCAGAGAGACTATATATACAGATTATATATATATATATATATATAGAGAGAGAGAGAGAGAGAGAGAGGGTTTGAGTTTTGACCATGAGCATCTTGGAAACGTTGCTAGCACCAAAGACTTTGTGAACAGCAGCGAATTTCTGGGGTTCAAGTGGGGAGAAATAGGGGGAAAAAGGGCATTCTTCAGCACATCTTCTTCTCAAAAGCTTACATGCAGCGCAAGGGGTGACAGTGTTCAATGTCCCTGGAAGACCCAACATATGTCTCCTTCCCATTTGAGAAGATGCATCGATCTCTCTCTTGATCTTCTTCCCTATCTCATCAAATGATCTGTCCCTAACAGAAGACAAGAAAACACATAGGATTACGACAACAATTTAGGGTTCTTGCTAAGTTTCTTTTATACACATCCAAAAACCTAGAGAAAAAGAATTGAAGTTCTGTCATCATGGTGAAAAGAGGAGGGTTGGTGTGTGGGGATGGGTGGAGTAATTTCTTATGTTTACCTTTCTCTGGACATTCAGGAATGCCACTATATATGCTGCCTAGGTAGATGGAGGTAAAGAGGAGAAGAGTTTCAAAGGGAGAAGGAAAGCAGAAAAGTAGATAGAAGGGAAAGAGAAGTGCTTAAAAGGAAAGTAGATCAATGATTTTTTATAGGAAACAAACAAACGGGTTTTGTGAGATGGTGATATGTGTATAAGCTAGCTATAGTTTGATATTAATGTGGATCATAGTTGGGCGGCGTGGAAGAGAACAGAAAGATGAGGAAGATAAATCACTGTTTTCAGATTGGGGAGAGAGAGAGAGAGAGAGTTGAAGTCAAAGCTTTGCCAACGTGTGTCCCCTTAGACTTTTGGACAGCAACTTACTTGGGATTGCTTCACACGTTGAATGGCTGGGACTCTCATTTTCAATGCTCTTGTGTTTCTTTCTTCTTTGCTTTCGCCCATATTTTCAATTGTTGGAACTTGTCTACACACCCATCGATTGCTTGGTTAATTCACCAATGACGACTTTAAATGTGGGAAATAGTGGACTACAAAACTTAAGAGGGACAATAATTGTGGATGGAAGATACTATTTGAATTTAATTTTCAGATATAACCTGAAAATCTAATTTAATACAATCATTGATTTAGTAGAAGATTACATTTAACATTAAAAATTATAACTAATTTAATGATTATATTGAAACCATATCATTAAGTTTCTATAGCATTAATTAGTTCGCTCTTCTCAGCATTAACAGCTGAACTCCTCTACACCGCACTATTACAAGAAAAGGGCAAGCATCGAGTCCACACTCAGCATAATAAGGAACACAAAGAACTAAAATGAACACTCTGAATTCACATAAAAAATAGCAAAAAACTATAAAATATGATATTATTGAATGAATAATCCATAGTATAAAGGAGCAATATAAATAAGAATAGTCAAAACCTGAATCCTTTCCATAATTGAAATAAAATCCCTAAAATTATGAAAATTATTAAAAACCGAAATATGCGATTTTACTAATTAACATAAAAGCACATGTGGTCTAACAAAATTGACATAGTTGAATTCAAAAACTCCTATGATTTATTATTAATTTTTGATGTTTTTTCAAAAGTGACAAAAATGAGATTTTGATGACTTAAACGATAGAATATGACCCAAAATTAAAAGAGTTCGTGAAAAAGTAATGAGCCTTGATGATTGACCGGATTCAAATCAAACACCACTGGTCTCACCAAATTGTGAGTCTGATTCATTTTACCTTTATTATTATTTTTCCGTCTTTCATTGTACTTTGAAGGCACAAAAATGAGTTGCCCCCGTTATTCTACATCACACGCCAACAGTTGCAAATCTGATGGGCGCTGCCACCCTGATGAAAAAATATTGGGTATAACGGTGTTATCACGTCTTCATTATCACGTAATATCAGTATTTAATAAAATTAAAACAAATAAGTATGTGTATCACACATATTATAATAATTACCATGTCATGTCATGTCATTTAATAACTATCTAGGTGACATTCACCTTACTCATTTATAAATTTATTATTAAATGGTAACATTACGCATAAATAATGATGTGATGTCACTCACACACCCACTACACCCACTATTTGTATTATCGAACCTCGTATTGTGATATATCTATTTCAAGTAAGACTGGTATGATTGATCTTGTCATATTTGATTGTAATCGATCTATTTTTACGTTAATTTTTAATGAATTGTTACATCGGATGCTACAAATCATTGGTACGGTTGAAGTACCATGCCTAATTGTCCCTTAAACTTGGGATTTGTAACAAGAGTTCTTTCTATATGTAGGGGATGATATAACAAGTGTAATATTTTTATACAAGCTCTCAAACATGATGAACTTTTTGTCGTTGAAGTAAGGGAAAAATTATGTGAACTCTCATACGAGAAAATTATTTGATAACGTTACTAAATTTCAGATAATTAGCACAATCATACGAAGAGCACACGCACATTGGATAAACCGAAGTTCAAACCTGGAACCTGGAACCTAGAACCTAGAACCATGACTATGTCATAGCTGTGAATTCTCCCGACGGTGATTGAACTTTATGGTGTCAATTATAGGGCATGACTGGTTGCAACTGTACCTGATATTGAGTCAAACAGCAATAAGTCGTATACCATTCATTATAGTCCCCCACCGACAAGGGTGTGCATTTTCTATGCAGGACTGTTGCCCTGGTATCAGCCTCTTTTTTCTACCACCTCTTTGTAGAACTTGTCTTATTTTCATTAATCTGATAGGCCGTGCGTGCGTACCTGAAGATCATTAAAATCTATATAGCTCATAGCACAACTAAAGTATCCTATCCATCTCTCTCCGTGTATAAATGCATACACAGGATCGGTTCTACTCCTAGCCAAGTAAGGCGGTCGGCCAAAGCTCCCATTCGTTTGTATGAATGGATTTTCAGAAGAATGTAAAAACTTTAGAATGTTACGTGAAGCAATCAAAACAAAAATTACTAAGATTTTTTTTTTTAAATCATAAATTTATGTAAATTCAAAAAGAAAAGAAAAAAAAATCCTATCATATTTTTGTAAAAAAAATTACAAGACTCTACTCTGTCATTTTATCTGAATTCTCAATGACTCTGATTTATTTATTCAGTTTTATTTTCTTGAACTATAATTTTTGAGTTAATTTTGATCTTAAAATAAGAATTTACAAGTTCTTTATTTTACAAGTTATTTTATTATAAATATATGAATTTAAATATTTAAAACAAAAATAAATAAATATTCATCTAAAAAAAATTTAAGGTCCGATCTAAAATTTTATCCAGGGCCTCAAGTATTCTTGGACCAACCATATACACATAAAAGAATCAAATTCTATAGAGTCTAAATACTTATTAATTCTCATATTTTTAAATTATTAGCAATGCACGACGTGCTTCGCATATAAATTAATTTAAATAATAATTTTTTTATTGATTATAAAAGTTTTTGAGTACCTAATCGGTTATTTGTATTATAGAATTATTGCTTTTATTTTTTTAAATAAATTGATTAGACCGCTTATAATAATATTACACTCCAAAAAATAAAATATAACACATACTTAACTTTGAAATTTTATCGATAACTTCATGTGTATAATAATTTAAGATATATAGGACTTTACTTTTCCATATAAATATAGAAAATTATATATAACTATATTATTAATAAATAAGTTTAAAAAAATTTAGAAATTCTTATAAAAAAGTCCAAAATAAGTTAAAAGTCAAATAAGAGTAAAAAAATAAAAATTAAATGAAAGTATATAAGTTGGTATAATTGATTTTATTATAATAATTAGAGATAAAATAAGAAATTAAAATTTTTCGCAGTTACCGATATTTATAAATAGTATAAATATAAATTTCATAGAAAAATATTTGGTTTCCTCTAATTAAATTTTGTGAAGCAGCTTATAGACCAACAAAGACTGGACTTTATGCCCATATCAAAGAAGGCCCCAAAATTTCAAGTCATATAGTTAGTTCAAATCAAAAAAAATTAAATCCATGAGATTTTAGGCCTTAAAAAAAATCTTATGAAAATTTAAACTCAATCAAAATTGAATTTGGGTAGTTTGGGCTCATGAACCCAACCCAAAATATTAAAAATATACTAAAATAAAATTTTTTAGAAAAAAAAAAAAAAAGAAGTTAAGGTTAAAAAAATAATTTTAACTAGTAAACTAAAAACACACCACCCATTTGTAATCTCTCTCTCTCTCTCTCTCTCTCTCTCTCATGTGTTATCACCGTTACATTGAATATTTACTTGTAAACTAAGGCCCTCTCTCTCACTTAATCTCTAGTAAATACAAATTATCTTTTTTTTTTGTTACGAATTTTTTTATTTCTATTATGAAAAATAAACCAAAATATTTTTTTGTTATTAAACTAGGAAAATTAAAATCAGTAGACTATGATTGTTTAAAATTAAAATTGGTAAAATATTTCCTAAAATCAACTATCATAACAAAGATTATAATACTTTTAACATAAAAAAATTATTAACATTAAAAATAAAAAATCTCATTTATAGTAGTCGTTTTAAGCCCCAAATAATCTTGACCTGCCCTTACAGCTTACATGTAATGCTTTACCTTAAAATTTTTAAAAGAAATTAGTTCAACGCTAATAGTGGATAATTTTTCAAGAATTATAAGGTTTGAATGGAAGAGAAGAGAGTGTGAGTGTGCATTGGAGAAAGTATGTAGGATACTTGGAAGGTTCAATGTCTTTATTTCGTTTCATCGATTCCCATTGTCATGTGCTTTTGAATATTTTTTCACAGCCCCAATGGCAAAACTAACTAGGAAATTCTACGTTAAGGAGAAAAAAAATAAATTTTGATATTGTGCCGTCAATTATCAATTTTTATAAATAAAATTATAATTTTTTTAAAAACATTTATAACTATTCAAAAAAAAATCATGATCGATCATAGACACTCGTGATCAATCATAACAATTTCAATATCAATTTAAATTTTTTATAATTCATCATACCATTTAAAATTATAATTTATAACTCAAAAAAATTATAATGTTTGGACGGTACCATACCGTAGCCTTTCCCGTCGATCTATGGTGGTGTAAGTGTACGTAACAGGACAGAACAATGCCAAGTTGATCAGATTCCATGTGGGGCTCGAGTGATGCATTAAATTAGGGACTATTAATTAATGTCATCTCAAAAGTTTCCAATCTCGACTAAGGCTAAATAAGACTAGCTTGAACATTTTTTAAAATTTATTTATGTGTAAATAGTCAAACAAGTTAACTCGTTTATATATAAATTTAGCTCAATTTAAATTTAAATTCAGCTCCATTAACATCCCTAATCTCAACATATTCTTCGACTCGCACACTCACATGCCTCGAGGCAACAACACACTAAGCATCCAAACATAATTAACTAGACCGGGCTATGTTTCCTGTACTCACCCATGCTCTTCAGACTTCGATACAG